TGCCAAGCTCCAACCTATGCCCTGCAGCCTAAGACCCTCCGAGCCCCCTGCCTTGTGCCCCGGGGACCCCATGCAGTCTTAGCCACCTTGATGGCTTAGAGCGCCTGCATCCCACCTCCACACAGGAGCAGGTTGGTCTCTGGCTTGTGTCCTCTGTGTGAGGAGGCAAGGGCTCTGTATAAACTTATGTTGGCCACTTGTGTGTGAAGCCCTTAACTGGGAAATCTAAGACTGCACCCAGGGTAGGCCAGGCGGCCCCCACCCCAACATTCCAGGACACCACCTTCTACCAGAGATTCAAGGCCAGGACACTAGATGGGAGAGGAACCCACCGACCATCCCCTACAGCCAGAGCCTGCGAGTTGGAGCAGCCCAAGCAATGCAGGGCTTTCTGTTCAGAGAGCAGAGCATCCTGGGAGGCTCAGTGAAGTTGCTGCCTGCCTGAGGCAGAATGAGAGCATCCAGGCCAGTGATGGGCTCACATGAGAACGATCTTTCCACCTGAACAGACATCTCGGGAGATAATAGTGAAATATGGCAGTGCATTCTTGTAGGCCCTGTCTCAACAAAACAAATCAGAAACAGCAGGTATTAAAGAAAAATGGACGCTAGGTACAGGGGTAGATACCTGTTGTCCTAGCTACAAGGGGTGAGATGAGAAGACTGAGGCCAGCCTGGGAAATGCACACACACACACACACACACACACACACACACACACACACAGAATGCTAGTGTTGGTGAACTGAAGAGAAAATAGAACCTTTTTAATCCCAGCACTTGGGAGGCAGAGGCAAGTAGATCTCTGTGAGTTTGAGACCAGCAGAGTCTACATTGTGCATTCTAGGCCAGAAACAGTTACACCCTGTCTAGAAAAATTAAAAATAAAAAGAAAGTGGGCGGGGGGGGGGGGGGAGCAATCTTTGTGAACTCTCAAACAAGGTACAGCTGCTACAGAAAACAGCACAACCAGTTACCCTGTGACACTGTAAATTGTCCCACGCCTGTGTGTGTACACAAGGGGACTGAACTCAAGTGCTCAGTGGATGATTCACAGCAGCAGCAGTCACACACCAGAAGGCAGAGGCAGCCCAAGTGTCAAATGCCTGTGCACAGCAGGACCCGCCCCAGCCTCTAGCAGGAAGGAAGCTCTAACCTGAGCCAGTCCAAGTGGACCTCGCAGACACTGCTAAGACAGATGAGTCAGACCCAAAAGGTTTCCGTACAACCCACGTACTTGAGATCTTTAAAGTAGAATGGACGTTGCTAGGAGCTAGGGAAGGGGTGGGATCGGAAGTGACTGCTTAAGGTCCACAGGATCCAACTCTGCAGGATGCAAAAGATCTGGAGATGGAGGTGGAGGCTGACAGGCAGCGTTACGAATGTACTTAACTAAACAAGGGTTAAAATCAGGGCTGGCCTTGCAGGCTCAATCCCCAGAACCCCTGTTAGAACATAAACAGGCATGGGAGGCCCACCCTGTGATCTTAGGGTGGGGAGGTGGAGCCAGGAGCATCCCAGGATTGCTCTGCCCAGCAAGCAGCAGGCCAAGAGGAAAGCTCCCAGCAAAAACTGATGGGGGTACTCAAGGAACAACACAGCAGCTGGACCTCCGGCCTCCAAACACAGAACAAACAGAAGTGGTTACAAGGCGTGGTGGTGAATGCCTGTGATCATAGTTCTCAGGTGACATAAAGCCAATGCTGAATTGCAGAAGACATAATGAGGCCCTTCCTCATACATCTCCTGCAAAACAGTGTTAAAGGTAAATTTTACGTCATGAACATTGCTGTACCATAAAAAAAAAAAAAAAAAAATGTTTGTAAATTGTGGGGTTTTGTTATAGTTGTTTGTTTTAAAAGAGGATCTTACTACGTAGATCAGGCTGACCTTGAACTCAGAGCCTCTGCCTCCACCACATTCAGCCAACACAATTTCTGTGAAGAAGCTGTTTCTGGGCTGGGCCAGGGAAATATATCATTGGTAGAATAGTTTTTAGTGTTTTAGTGTATATTAAGCCTCAGGAAAGAAAACAGGGTTCTAACAAAAGAGCATGCGTGTGTGTGTGTGTGTGTGCATGTATGTGTCTACCATAGTCCATGTCCATGCTATGCAGAAGGTGGTCATTAGCCACCAGACATAGATATTGGTAATTGGGGTCCTCCAGAAGAGCAAATGCTCTTAACCACTGAGCAGTCTCTCCAGCCCCCAAACAGGAATCCTTAAAGCTGCTTATTACAAAAGCACATCACTGGGGCAGAACTGTAACCTAGTTGGAGTGCTCTTGTCTAGTACACATGAGGCCCTGCATTCAATAGCCAGCACCATGTGAAGCAGCTGTGGTGATGCCACTCACCACTCCAGCACTTCAAACATAGAAGCAAGAGAATGGCAGGTTCAACATCATCCTGAGCTCCATAGCAAGTTCAAGATCAACCCAGGCCACTTGAGACTGCATCAAGTAAATGAAGCTGTGGTAACCGAAGGCAAACAACTGTTGGCCTCCATGGGAAGGTGTTCTTTGCACAAGGCCTTAACTTATTATATTGTCTTCCACATTTACCTAAGAATTGTGTCAGGGCTTTCACACACACACACACATACACACACACACACACACACACACACACACACACACTAAGGAGAGGATAACACAATCTAACTTTTAAAATGCTCTGGTTTCAATGGCTTCATTAAATGAGTTCTAGCAGTTAGGTGTGTCCTATCCAAGCTTGGAAGAAGAGAACCCTGTAAGAAAGCCACCTCCAGCTCTTGAGGATTAGCAGCAGAGAAGACCCCACTAAGAGCTGAAGCTGGACCTGACAACCCTGTATCTGACAAAGATGGCAATGGAGGGAGGCCCCAAGCCAGTTCCTTGAGCTCTCCCAAGACAGGAAGGGACAGAAACTCCACAGTAGAGAGCTTGAGAAGAACTGTATCCTCTTTCTCCCTGGAGTCAGGAAAGCGGTGAGAGCGGAATAAGGACCAAGAAAGTGATGTCATTTCTTTCACTTTTTGACACACGTGCCAACATCCTGTTCTTTGTATTTGCCGAAAATGAAAAAATGATTAGTTTGGTCCAAGTCTACTACAGGACTGGAGTGATGTAAGCCTAGAGTGAGCCTGGGCACCATTCCAGAGGAAATGCTGGGGTGTGCGAGGTGTGCTACAGGGTGGTAAACTCTTGTGGACACAGAGAGGCTGCAGGCTTCTACGAAGAAGCGAGCTTGGCTCTCTGCAAGGGAGAGTCCTGCCTTCTAAATCCAAGTCCTAACTCTTCACAGGAAAGTACCAGTGGATAATATCTCAAGTGGGAGCAAAAAAAAGAGAAATCACATATGTTAAATCTGACTTAGCAAAAGAAGTAAAAGCACTCCAAATGGGACTAGGCAGGAAAAGGAACAGCAGCTGATGGGCAGAATCACGAGTCCATTTGTACTTCCTTCCCATGGACATGTATTAATTCACAAAGATTGCAGAAGATGCACATGCCTGTGATCTCTGAAGTTGGGAGGCTGAGGATGAGTTCGAGACCAGCTTGGGTTAGTTACTGAACCCTAAAGCAAAGCAAAACTGCTGAAAATTATTATCTTCATGGAATTTCTGTTTTATCAGAGGCATGTAATGAAAGTTTTGGTTTCTTTAAAAACTCACTTATGTTATGTAAATATGGTTTTGTTTTAATCCCAAGTGTGGTATTTTAGTTTGTCCACAGCTGATAACTGCCTCCTGCGGGGCGTGGTCTTTGTCAGCTGGTAAGGGCCTGCCTCATGGTGCAGAGAAGAGCGTGATCTAGGACTCTGAGGGATACAAATAGGAGATCGCAGAGACAGAGGAGGTGGCAGTCTGGAGAGACTCTAGGTGGCACAGCAGCTTGGAGGAGGAGACTGTTGGCTGTGTTTGCATCGACCTTAAACAGCCAGGGGAAGTAAAGGGGTCCGTGACCCCTCTCCCCACTAATCTCTCTCCTACTTAGGGAGACGCTTTACGAAACCCCAAATAAAATAGAATTTTAAAACGAGCACAACCGAAGCATTAGGCTTGCATCTGAAATACACCCGACACTCAGATCTTGTAGGCTTCATCTTAATACAGTGAAGTATACAGAAGAGAGAAATTGGGTTAATATCTTGATGAAATTGTTGTTGCTTTTCACTGTGTAGCTCTGGCTATCTTAGAACTCACTATGTAGACTAGCCTGGCTGAAAAGTGACAGAGATCCACCTGCCTCTGCCTCCCAAATATTGGGATAAAAGGTGTGCACCAACATGCCTAGCCTGGAATCATAATTTGATATTAGTGGAAGGTGGGAACTGAGAGGAAGCATGTCACTGGCTACACCCTTGAAAGTGACTCTCTGCTTCCACACCCAGAGGTGACAGCTCAGGGCTGTCCCACCTTCTCTACTGTGAGGCTCTGCCTAAGCTCAGCCAACCAGTCCTCTGGAACCCTGAATCCAAAAAACTCTTTCTTTCTTAAGCTGATGCCTTCTGTCACAGCAGTGAGTGGTGATTTCAACAATTCTCCCAAAGCACTATCACCCTATCATTTTCTAGAGATAAATAACAGTCAACTAACCGCACCTATAATTCTTTGGAGCTCCTCCCACCTCCCTGTCTTCACCTCCTCCCTGCAGCCCTCAACTTCTAGCAGGCTCAACTCACCTGCTAGAAGGAAGGAAGAAAGGTAAGGAGAAAAGAGCCCAGTGAGCTCCACCAAACACATGAGTGCAGGTAACCCCCCCTCCCAGGTGTGAGAGCAGCTGCATGAGTGATCAGGTAAGACACACAGACAAGCTGCCAGACTCGGGCAGGTAGAGTGACCCCATACTTGAAAGATGAAGGCAGGAGAATCAGAAACTCAAGGTCTTCTTGACCACATGGTAAGTTCTAGGCCCATGAAACAAAGGGAGGGTGTAGACTGAGCACGGTTTGTCACGCGGTACCAGACTGCTGACATGAGCAACTGTGTCCCACCCTCCCTCGCGTGGACCCAGGTACCTATCCACGGAGTGCCCGTGGCCTCCAGGGACCACTCGCTCCACTGGCCAGTATCCAGCTCCTCCTTCCCTCGGAGCTGCACCACATGCTTCACCCCTCTCAAGGCGTCATGGATGATGCACTGATGCTGGGTCACCGGGAGCTGCGGATGGAGACAGGGTGAGTGCCGGGTGCCCTGATGGGGTGATGAGACGAGGAGCGGGCACCCTTGACCGCCCTGATCTCCAGGTGGCAGAGGCTCACACCACCTGGGAGGCAGAGTGAGATGGAGCCCTTCTCAGAGACACAGGCTGAAGTGTCGGTAGGTAACTGAAGCCAGCACGCTACAGCCCTGGCTTTACACAGAACCCAGCATTCTCCTTTCCTGTTCTCACAAGGAGTCTGGCCTGGCCTTATTAGTCTCATTTTATAAAGACAAAGCCAGGCCTCCTAAAATTAAATGCCTCACCCAAGACTATGAAGAATGGAAGGTGCAAAACTGGACCCAGAACCTACTTTTTTGTTTCGTTTTGTTTGTTTTGAGACAGGGTTTTTCTGTAGAGCCTTGGCTGTCCTGGACTCCCTTTGTAGACCAGGCTGGCCTTGAACTCACAGAGATCTGCCTGCCTCTGCCTCCCTGAGTACTGGGATTACAGGCGTGTGCCACCACGCCCAGCTGTAGAGCCTACTTCATTTTCAGTGTCCTACTTCCCCGGAAAATCTAGGAGCATTTTTCTGTTTAGATATAGATTTGACCTGGGCATGAAGGATCACTTTTATAACTATAGCACTTGGAAACTTAGGAGGCTAAGGCAGGAGGACTGTCATGAGCTCAAGGCTACAGCTCAGGGGTGAAGTTTGTCTCCAAAAAAAGGAAAGGAATTACCAGCCACACTGTGAATGTCTTTGACCACACAGGGCGATATCGAAGCTCAAACCGCAGCAAGTAGTACCGCGTGTCCCAGGATGCCGGGTCTTGCCAGCTGACATTGAGCCATCGAGGCCTTCCAGGTATGGCTGACACCACAAGGTTGGCGGGTGGGTCAGGTTTCACTGTGGAGAGGGAATGAAAGAACCAGGTCCGACCCACTGCCACCCCAAAAGCCACCAGTCCCAGGAACTAGGCCATAGAATACCAATTCCAGAAAGAAGACAATGGAGTCCACTACCCAACGAACAGCCTGGAGAAAACCCAGTAATAGTTAACCATCACCCCCAGCGAGGGCTAATCAGTGAAGACCTGGAACTTACCCAGGTGTTCTTTACAATAGGATGAGTGAAACAATTACGGTTTGGCTCGGCCTTCCAGGCAAACATTTCCTCTGGAAACCCGTTATTTGCTAAATGTCAATCAATCCTAAAACTGCCTAGCTGGAAATTCCCAATTAACCTTGCTATAGCCCTAAATAAAAACCCTCCTCCCACTGAGCTCGGGCCTCTACGGTCAACCACTGTGTCAGTGAGGGTGTGGGCTGGAGCTGGAGCTTGTACTAAATAGACCCTACTGTGTTTGCATCGGAATCAGCTCCTTGGTGGTCTTTGGGGTCCTCGAGACTTGAGCATGACAGGAACAGGCCTTCTGTGCTGCAGCAAGCAAGGTACAGAGCCTCAGACACCCCGCCTCCAGGAGGACACCACTCCCCAGAAAAGTTTAAATTATATTTGTTTAATAGAAATGGAAGCCAGAGTTCAGGCTGCTCTAGCTGCTCTTCCAGAGGACCCGGGTTCAATTCCCAGCACCCACATGGCAGCTCACAACTGTCTGCAACTCCAAGAGTTGATGTTATGCCCAGATCTTAAGGTCCCCAAAGACCACCAGGAGCTGGACCCTGTATGCAAGAGCAAAGAGCTTTTATGTGGACTTAAGCTAGGTCTCTCCACCATCACCAGTGCAGTAGGTCAGTGAGGAGAGCCCTGAGCAGCTGCACAGTAGGGTTTTTATTGGAGTTTGAGGAAGGACAGTTACACAACTGGATGACATTCAGCAAGGGCAAGCTTGTTACAAAGTGATTGGCTAACTAATATAACACTGAGCGAGCTATCTACAGACCTCAGGAATATTAGGTATTTTCTGTGCCGTGAATGTTCTACTATGAGGTCGGTGGGCTGCCCAGCACAGATGCCCCACCCTGAAATGAGATGCCTTCCCACTCTTGTGGTTATCCTCAGGCTGCCATGTCCTTGGGTAGGGAAACATATGACCAAGTTTCTGGAACTGGCAACCTATGGCCTAGTTCCTGATGACCTTGGGGTGGGATCACTAGTTCCTGGTAACTTTGGGGTGACCTTGTTTAGGTCTAGCTCCTGATGACCTTTGGGGGCATCAGGCCCCCACTGACACCCACAGACATACATGCAGGCAAAACACCAATGCACATAAAATAAAATAAATAATGAATAAAAAAAGAAAGGAAGGAAGAGATGGAGCACATAGCCTTGCATTTGGTAGGCAAGAGCTTAGCCATTGGGTCACCCTTCAGCACCCCTGTGTTCATCTTGAGAAGACCCCCATCCATTTGTCAGCAACGCACCAGAACACACAGCTCCCAAGGCCCCAGCCACATCTTCCCTGCCTCTCCCAGGGTTAGATGAGGAATACACCCTTAGTCAGCTGTGGTGGGGGGGGGGGGGAAGAAGGGGGTTACTCACCAATCTTCATGCTCTGAAACGCCACACTGCGGCTGGACTTTCTTCCCATGCTGTTCGCCACGCACAGGGACACTACGTGGTGAGCTTTCTCACCCTCGAAGACTTCCACCTGACAGGAGAAGCTTCTGAGCTCCTGCGAATACTGGCAGGGCACCTGGAATTCATTCTTTGCATTGTTGGTGCTGCTGTACAACAGAAGAAGTGCACAAACATTCTAGCAAATTCTGTTCTTTTTTTAAGAGAAGTAAGTCTGGCTTCAGCCCAGCCAGGGTCTGCTCCTGTGACTTTTCAGCTAGTTTTCTCCCTAGAAAGAGAATGCTAATGGCTTTAAAGCCTTCAAATAGGATTTCACCACAGAACCCAGCCAATGCAGAAGGAATGGAGGAAGGCACTTGGGCCTCTCTTTTGTCATTGTGTCTTGACCTCTGACTTCCTTCCAGGGTCTTATCCTTCACACATAAAGGTTGCAGAAGTGACTAAGTTAAGCCCATCCTGGGGCACAAAAGACCTGCCCTTAGGTGATACAGCACAAATGCTGGCACTAGACGAGAGGAATAGAAGGGAGGGACAGACTAAACAAGACTTCTGAAGACTGAAGATGGTCAAGGGACAGATGCTATCCCACCAGGCCTGGGAACCTGAACCTCTCCCACTTCCACTTTCCCTGCCATGAGAAAACAAGTGGCCAACCTCGACTCAGATATAACTTGGGGCCACCGAGCTGGTCGCCACACTGGTTTTGTTACATGGAAATTCTCCTCCATCTGCTAAACATTTTATCCAAGACCCTTCAGTGAGAGACCTAAGACCTCAGAGGAGCAGACCCTAGCCTGTGCTTCCGGTGCCCTGCAGTAGTGCCCTGCCCGGAGGAGAATCTGCTTTCATGTCTTAGGCTCTGCTGACTGCTCTTGATCACTGCCTGCTCTTCGCTCTAGGGCCAGGCTTGAGTTCTGCGGAACAGCACAGGTAGCCTGAGCTCACCTGCAACCTGGGCGGGACTGCTCACAGAGTCAAGGCACTGGTTACAGCCTTTCCGCCCACCCCCACCCCTCCTGCCCCCAGGGCCATTTGTGCTCTTCTTTAGGGCAACACCCCAAACCTTTGAACCGTGATGGAAATTAGGCAACTCATCCTAGGATTGGATTCTCTTCCTAACCACTTAGAGCCACTTCCTGGCTAAAAGACCAGAGCTGTTGTGTTAGGCAAATTGAGTTTAAACTGCAACACAGGGCTCACTTCCTTAATCCCAAATTTCTTCTCTTTTTTCTTTGTTGTGTTAATTTTTAGAGTAACCAAGTATCAAAAAACAGGAACTTAGCCTGGCATGGTGGCCCAGGCCTGTGATCCCAGCACTTGAAGAGGCAGAGGCAGAGAGATCTCTGTGAGTTTGAGGCCAGCTTTGTCTACAATGGGAGTATAACATAACCAATAATACAAAGAGAAACCCTGTCATGAAAAAAAACAAACAAAAACAAAAAACAGGGCTTTACACATATTATGTGTCAAATTTGGGATAACTTTCTACTGATAAAACATTGGTCCTGGGGCTGGACCCTGGATTCAACTTCCCTAACACCCACATGGTTGCTCACAGATCTATAACCCTAGTTCCAGGAGATCCAATCCAAAATATGTGTGTTGCACATACATGCAGGCAGGCAAAATATTCATACACATAAAGTAAAATACATTTTGTTTTGTTTTTCAAGACAGGGTTTCTCTGTGTAGCCTTGGCTGTCCTGGACTCGAACTCAGAGATCTACCTACCTCTACCTCCCCAAGTACTGGGATTACAGGTGTGTGCCTGATATAACATAAATCTAAAAAGAAAAATGATCCCTGTCCTGTCAGTCCAACAATTACCGATGCCCTCCAACCCTGTTCCCCAGCTAGGCGGGGAGGCGGGGAGCATCGGCTGAGCATGGCACATGGCCCCACTTGGCACTTACATCTTCCTCACAAACAGCACAGCCTTCGTGGTTGGAGAAGGGGTGCTGCTCGGATGCCACTCACAAATAGCATTTACGAGAGGGTTCTTCCGGAAGCAGGAGAGCTTGGGCTCCTCTGGAGGAACTGAAAGAGAGCTCAGCAGGATGAGGGGGGTGCGACGCTCCCTGAGCGCACCTGCTGTGTGCTTCACTCCTCCTGGTTGAGGGGGCTCTCGGTTCAGCTGGGAGCCACAAATGACACAACTCCCCAGGGACATCTTGGCCAGTGGACCCCAGCAAGAGGAGAAAGACAGCGTCATCTTCTGTCTAAAGCTGTGGTTCTCAGCCTGCGGGTCAGGACCCCTTCAACAAAACTCAACCTTCCAAAAACATTTATGTTACGATTCATAACAGTTGTAAAATTACAGTTAGGAAGTAGCAACGAAAATACTTTTATGGTTGGGGGTGAGCACATGAGGAACCATGCTAAAGGTCCCCAGCATTAGGAAAATGGAGAACCGCTGCTCTAAGAGGTTGAAAAGATGATGCACAACTAGCACCTTTGGCCTCCCACAGACTCGGCAAGTCTCTCCTTAGCCTCCTCACCTAAAATTAATAAATAGGGACGCTGGAAGAACATGCTGAGAGCAGGGCTCCCACACAAGGCATGGGCCCCGTCGCCTTCTCCGGAGCTGAGGGGGCCCTTGGCCTGCTATTGTTGGACTGCCACCTGAGAGTTCCATGTGTGTTTCACTTGCGCTGTGCAGTTTTCAGCCCTCGAACACTTACTTTATCTTTGCAGCAAGGAAACATGATAAAGTTCCCTCTGTTTTGCCAGGGGATCTGAGGGTGGTAGCCAGAGTTAAGACTAGGTGCCTGGCTGGGAGTCCAGCACTATGAAATCTGCCAGATGACTTCCACAGCGAGCCACATGTCCGCATGCCACGGGCAGAGCAGTGGCCCTTTTCCAAAAGGGAAACTCGTGAGCCCAAAGTGACAAACTTAAAGGATCAATCAGGGACTCTTTCTGGAATGCAGGGACATGTTGAAGGACGTTGAAGCTGCCCTGAAAGCCACTTCTGGGGACACTGAAGGCACAACTCACCATCCACCAGCAAGGGCACAGTCCCAACCAGGTGATCATCCAGGAAGCAGAAATAGTCGCCAGTGTCGCTGAGCTGCACTGCCCTCAAAACCAGGGTGTTTCCCGTGGTAGTCCACCGTCTGTGCTGTGAGCCAGAGTACACCCAATGAAAGGTGACATTGCCTGCTGCTTCCTTCCCGGGGCAGGTAAGGGCAACAGTGGCCCCTGGCAGGCTCGTCACCGTACTATTTGCCACCTCTGGGGAAGAAAAAACATGGATAAGTCACAGCAACTTGAACATAGGACTTATGATTTGGAGAAGTCAAAGGCCTCCACAGTAACACCTCTGGAGTCTCCCATAGGCCAGCTGACCTCCAGCTGTCTGCTAGAGTGCATGATCCAGCAATCCAGCTCCCTTGATAGAAAACCCTTTAAAGGGACAGGTGTGAACTGGCAGTGATGCATGCCTGTAATCTCAGCACTCAGGAAGTCAGAGGAGGCAGCCTGATCTCTGTGATTTCGAGGCCAGCCTGGTCTACAAGGTGAGTCTTCAGGACAGCCAAGGTACAGAGAGAACAATAAAGAGAGAGAGACAGGTGTGGTGGCGCACGCCTTTAATCCCAGCACTCAGGGAGGCAGAGGCAGGCGGATCTTTGAGTTCGAGATCTCTGAGGTCTGCAGAGCAAGTTCTGGGATACCCAGAGCTACACAGAGAAATCCTGTCTTGAAAAACCAACCAAACAACCAATCAATAAGAGAGAACCACTTCCCTAACTTAAAAAAAGAAAAAGAAAGAAAGAAAATAAAAGAAAAAGAAAAAAAAGAGACTCCAGGCACACAAACACAATCACCCTGTTTTAGTTCAGTGTCTACAATGGTGCTTGGCACAAGGCAATCACCCTTGTACAACTGAACACACAAGTGAACAAATGAATTCACCTAGAAATGAATGCCAGCTTCTCAAGAAGGAACCCAGCACCAGCATACACGTGCACAAGAAGTCTCAGAGTGACATTTTACAGGCGGTAACCAACGTAGAGAATTACTATGCACAAGGTAAATAAAGCCGAGGCTTCAGGCTCACTCTGCTCAGGCCAGGACCCTACATATCCATCTGATATATCAAATCTAGGCACAGCTGTTTTTAATTCTAGAAACCAAGTTGGAAAGTAAAAACTAACAAACAAATATTCTTCATTCCCTGAAAAAAAAAAAAAAAAAATCATGGGTACACTCAAGGAAAACAGAGGTTAAAGATTCAAGGACCACTGAGTCAGCCATAGTGATCCATGTTGATAAGCTCACATTCGGGAGCCTGAGGCAGAGAGATCACCAAAAGTTTAAGGCCAGCCTGGGAGCCTCAAAAGAGACTAGAGGGGCAAATCCACTCTTTTCTTGGCACAGGTTATAGATTACAGACTCACAAACTCTGAAGTGTGAGTTTAGAGCATTGTATAAAAGTAATCCCATAGGCTGAGGAAACAGCCGAGGGAACATGACTTTTCAGGTCAGGCATAGGTGGCTCTTCACACCAGACATCTGACTTCTTATCAGCGAGCGGCAGCCACACATCTGGATTTGGGGAAGCCAGCTGCTGCCAGAGGGCCTGACCTCGTGCCCACGTGTGTTCCTGACACTGAGGGTAAGCACAAGAGTCTCTCTTTGACCTTTGAAGCCTTCTTGCTTGGAAAGCGGTCTGACCCAGTGCCTGGCCTGTTCTTTCTCCTGTCCATCCTCAATGGCCATCCGAGAAGAGGGGGTAAGTAGATCACAAACGTCGCCAGGCACCCCGACTGCCCCCACTGGCCATTTTCAGACACACTGCATCAGAGAAGCAGGGCGTCGGCCTGGCTACATGGATGTCCTTCATGTGCCCCATTCACTGTACCCCCTGGAAGATGGCAGGACATCTGCAGTGCCAGAATGGTGGTCACTGTTTTTCTCTCTTTACCCCCAGAGCCCTGGGCTTTTAGGTGGAAAAAAAAAATGACAGGGCCTGGAGAGATGGCTCAGTGGTTAAGAGTGATTGCTGTTCTTCGGAGGATCCGAGTTCTTTTCCCAGCACCCACATCAGGCAGCTCATAACTGCTGATAACTCCAGGTGGCCTCAGAGAGAAGCCATACACAGTGGCACAGTCTTTCAGCGGCGGTTCCCAGCCTTTCATGCTGCAACCCTTTAATACACTTCCTCATGCTGTGGTGACCTCTGGCCATAAAATTATTTTTATTGCTACTTCTGTAATTTTGCTACTATTATGAATCATAATGTAAATATTTTTAGAGTTAGAGGTTTGCCAGAGAGGTCACTGACCCACAGATTGAGAACCGCTGACTTACATAGACATATATGAATAAATAAAATAAAACAAAATTTTTTTTCTTTTTAAGGAATGGCCAGGCATGGCAGAGGACCTTTAATCTTAGTACAGGCAAAGCAGGTCTCTGTGAATTTCAGGACAGCCAGCGTTTCAGTCAGACGTTGTCTCAATAAAATAAAAACAGCAGTGTGTCACCTTGTAACCAGGTGAGTTTGAGGAGGCATCTTAGATTTCTCTCACTCTCCCTCAATCAGCTCCAAGGCTCCAACATGGAGGAGGGATCCTTCTTGGGCACCAGAGAGCCCCATCTGTGAGAAGCACAGCCTTTATAGCAGACTTCACCCAGCATCCGCAGCAATAGCTGAGTGGCGGCTCCACAGCCCCAGAAGCCCGAGCCCTCAGATGGTGGGAAGGGGCGGCTTCCGAGAGTATTCAAAGGTTCCCAAAAGCACTGATACATATTCTTCAATGACATATGCTTAGCATTTCATTGTTCTTCAACTACTTCACACGCTGTTGAACATATGCAAATTAATCCATGTAGCGCTCATAAAAGCTGTAAAGTGAAAAACACCCCCACCCACCCCCAAACAAGCACACTTGTTATCTCTGAAGGTAGTTCTGATTCTCCCGATCTACAACTTCCTGACGACACATACTTTACGTTTAGCCATTTATCCTCCCTTACTTTGAAATGTTGTGTCACATCATCTATCTGGCTGCATTGCCAGGGCACATGTGGAAATCAGAAGCTTTCTTTCTATCATGTGGGCCTCAGGATTGAATTCAGGTTGTCAGCTAAGCAGCAAGCATTTCTACCCATTGAGCCATCTTGCCAGCCCTCTTCCTTCCTTCCCTAGTTAAAAAAATAATAATAATAAGTTGGTTAGCCGCATGCGGTGGCGCACACCTGTAATCCCAGCACTTGGGGAGGCAGAGGAAGGTGGATCTCTGTGAGTTCAAAGCAAGTCCAGGACAGCAAAGATTATACACAGAGAAACCCCATCTCAAAAAAAATAAAGAATAAATTGGTTACCCACAGGCCTCTTCATCTTTTGTAGCTTAGTCTCTGAGCTTCATAAAACGGTTTATATGTATTCTTCTATTTTATGTGTATTCTCCGTGTTTTCCCCAGTCATGTTCTCACAGTCTGTGGGATTTTCACGGGATGTGGGTATAGCTGGCTCACACTCAGCTCAGCTTAGTATTCCGCTGCCTAAGGCTTCCCGTTGTCTCCAGTGCTGTGTTGTCTGAATGAGAATGGCTCCATAGGCCCAAGTGTTGGAATGTTTGGTCCCTGGGACCAGGAGATGTGGTCCTGCTGGAGTGGGAGGTGTACAGGACTTTGTTGGAGGTGTGGCTGTGTTTGAGGAAGTGTGTCGCCGAGGCTTTGAGGTCTACAAAGTGAGTCCAAGACAGCCAAGGCTCTATTACATAGAGAGACCCTGTTTCAAAAAAAAATAAAATCCTTACCCTCCCATTTCCACTGGACAGAGCAGTAGAAGGATAAAAGCTATCACAGGCATCCAGCTCAGGTCTATATTTTGAACATGTAGGAACTTAGGTAGAAATGCTGACAAAAGAGAGCGCTGTGTTGGCCGGTGGCTCCACCCAGCACTGGCCACAGCCCTCTGCCAGCTGAAGAATGAATAGCAGAATTCACAGGGCAGCGTGGGCGCGCCAGTGCTCAACAGATTCGGGGCAGTTTTCACGGAAGTCCAACAACCATGGACAGCTCATGCTTTCTTTGGCATTTGCATAGGCCACTGCTCTGAACTGCTCTGAACAAAGCGTCGGACACAAGACGCTTTGGTTAACCACGGAGCAAATACAAAGTAAGGCTCCATGAGACTAGAACTGCACTAATTCTGGTGCAGTTCATGGCCAGTGAGGTAGCCACCATGAGATCACAGCACAGCATGACGGGCACATGTTTGCAAAGTGCTGCTGGGGTGAACCAGCCTACTGAGTCAGATAAAGTCACAGTGCAGGGCCTGGCTGGGACTAAGTGATGGGGTTATAGTTGTGGTTAGTTTAGAATGTACTCTTGCTTCTTTCTTTTAAGTTTTAGCCAGGCACAGCACTGCGGTTCCATCTTGGATGCCATTCTGCTGCTGTGAAGAGACACATGAGCAAAGCAGCTCTTAGAAAAGAGAGCACTTAGTGGGGGCTTGCTCAGGTTTCAGAGGCCTAATCCAGAAGCAGACAGGCACGGCACATGGCACTGGAGCAGTAGCTGAGAGCTTCACATCCTGATCTCAGGAGGGGGGGTGGGGGAGAGACAGACAGAGACAGAAACTGGGCCTGATGTGAGCTTTTGAAACCCCAAAGCCCACCCTCAATGACACACCTCCTGCAACAAGGTCACACCTTAGGTATGAGAGAAAGAGAGAGAGAGAGAGAGAGAGAGAGAGAGAGAGAGAACTGACCTAACCCTTCCCAAACAGTTCCATTACCTCCCTCTTGACAGTGTCAAGTGACTGGCCTATAACATGTAGGTACGTGTAACTCTGCTGTATGTGCACATCAATAAAATCGTTAAACAGCACATCTCTCAGACGAGGCCCTGTTATTAAGTGAGACGTGGCTGCAAGACTGCAAGGTCCTGTTTGCCTCGAGCCAGTGACCACAATGGGCAGGCACTCACAACACGTTTGCCTAAAACAGGGCTCTCAAGGACAGGGTCTCCATGGCGCACTCCCACAGCGCACACCAGGGGTGGATGACACAGTGGTTCACGCTGAGTGGGCAGACCCTGCGCTGAGCACCAGCCAGGAGGCATTGCAGCAGCCACATGAGTGTGGGAGGGAGCTCTCTTCTTCCACCTTGTCATGGCCTCCTCCCCATCCCTTTCCCTCCCAGTACAAACCTTTGCATGCTTGGTGACTATCTGGAATAATGGCCAGGACAATTCAGTTACTGCACTTGCAAACAATGGCA